GGTAAGCACGTAACGTATCTCTGGAAACCTTTTTTTTTTTTTTTTGGAGAATCTCTGAACAAATGAGACTGAATCCTCCGCTTGAACATGAAAAGATACATTGCCATATATGGGCCTCGCTGCACTACTCTGGAAATGTGCAAAACGAGAGTGAATCTTGCGTTAGAATATGGAAAGATACACCGCCAATATTTTTGTCCTTTGTGCATGTCGAGAGTTGTGCAGCGAGCCCGTTGGTGAACATTACAGTTGAGGTTCTGACAGGTTGGACGCGCCGGGCTTCACTCGTGCAAAGAAATTCTGATGTTCTTCCTTAGAAAAAAAAATCAGCTCCCCCCTCTTTTTTTTTCCCGGGGCCCCGCGCGGCCTCAAATTTGTTTTTTTTTTTTTGTTTTGTTTCTTGACGCGACATCCCACTTGAGCCTACAACACCCCTCCCCAACTTTTTTTTTTTTGGCTGACCCCCTATTTTCGGGGTGCGCCGCACCCCGTGCGCGCGAGTCGTGCGCGGTGCGCGGTGCGGCGCACGTGCGGGATGCCGCGCACCTCGATGCGCCGCAAGTATGGTCTCTTCCCATGTTCTAGCTTAAGATTCATTCTCATTTTACACATTTGGTGAGTACTGGAGAGAGGCCCAATGTTGGTGCATCCGACTCCTGCTCGGGGAGTAGAATGGGTGTGTTGTTTTGGAAAGCCAAAAAGAACAAAAGAAACAAAAAAAAAAACTTTCTTGGCCCATTGGCTAAGTAAGATCAGGTGCAATGTATACGTTCTGATCAGTTTTGTTTTTTTTTTTTTTTTTTTTTTTTTTTTTTTTTTTTTTTTTTTTTTTTTTTTTTTTTTTTTTTTTTTTTTTTTTTTTTTTTTTTGAAAGCCCTTGTGCCATCCCTCTCTCTATCCCAGCGGTGGTACGAGAACCGCCAGGATTGAGGGATTGTCAATCGGGCAGCTCCATCTATTGGTGGGGAGCTACACCTGCTGAGCACTGGGTCCAACGTCCCTTTGATACATCTTATAGTACCTCTTATACTTTATCTGATCAGTGGTCCATCTGACCACACTTCAAAAAAAAAAAAAAAAAAAAAGACAAGAAAATGCAGGCTAGATTGGCTGCTGACACTTGACAAGCTCTCAGCGGGCACCGATTTCGTTATGTGGAAGAGACAATCAGAGGAGCCATACTTCGGACTCTCTGGACATTGCGAAACTCCGCGGTGAGATTCCCGGCCTCACTCAATTATTTATAATACAAAGAAACTATCATTGCAAAAAAAAAAAAAAAAAAAAAAAAAAAAAAAAAAAAGAAAGAAAGAAAGAAAGAAAGAAAGAAAGAAAGAAAGAAAAACTCTGCGGTGAGAAGAGGGGAACGTCTGACTCCACTGATGGTCAGAGCGGAGGTTAAATTTGGAATAAAACGCGCGATTTTGACAGACTGGGAATATAAAGTCCAAAAAACAGGTTACTCTGCGAAATCTCTCAAACATTTTGCAAGCAGATGGGGTGCATTCGGGGGTTTGCTGACTGTGACTCAAAATTCAAGGGAAGCCGCCAGAACTGAGATTCTCAGCATTCTTTCTTTCTTTCTTTCTTT